GGTCAAATCCCGCTTCGGGCGGGCGCCCCCGCGAGGGTCAAATCCCGCTTCGGACGGGGGCCCCCGCGAGGGTCAAATCCCGCTCCGGGCGGGCGCCCCCGCGAGGGTCAAATCCCGCTCCGGGCGGGGGCCCCCGCGGGGGTCAAATCCCGCTCCGGACGGGGGCCCCCGCGAGGGTCAAATCCCGCTCCGGGCGGAGGTCCCCGCGTGGGTCCAATTCCGTTCCGGGCGGGGGCCCCCGCGAGGGGCAAATCCCGCTCCGGACGGGGGCCCGAGGGTCAAATCCCGCTCCGGACGGGGGCCCCCGCGAGGTTCAAATCCCGCTCCGGAAGGGGGCCCCCGCGAGGGTCGAATCCCGCTCCGGGCGGAGGCCCCCGCGAGGGTCAAATCCCGCTCCGGACGGGGGCCCCCGCGAGGGTCGAATCCCGCTCCGGGCGGAGGCCCGCGCGAGGGTCAAATCCCGCTCCGGACGGGGGCTTCACGAGGGTCTAGTCCCACTCCGGACGGGGGCCCCCGCGAGGGGCAAATCCCGCTGCGGGCGCGGGCCCCCGGGAGGGTCAAATCCCGCTCCGGCCGGGGGGCCCCCGCGCGGGTCTAGTCCCACTCCGGACGGGGGCCCCCGCGAGGTGCAAATCCCGCTGCGGGCGCGGGCCCCCGGGAGGGTCAAATCCCGCTCCGGCCGGGGGGCCCCCGCGCGGGTCAAATCCCGCCGCGGGCGGGGGTCCCCGGAAGGGTCAAATCGCGCTCCTGGCGGGGATGCCGCCAGGGTCGAATTCCCGCTCCGAACGGGGGCGCCCCGGGGCCCGCGCGAGGCTCGAATCCCGCTCCCGGCCGGCGCCTCGCGGGGGTCAAACTCCCGCTCCGGGCGGGGACCTCCTCGAGCGTCAAAGTCCCGGGCCTGGCCGGGTTTCGCGAGGGGTTTTCCCAGGGACCGGGCCGCCGACAAACAAGCGCAGGTGGTTAATGGCAACAAAAACGCAGTAGTCAACGCAATACAGGAGAGTAAGATATCGCTGGACAGAATATGGTTATCAGATCGCAAAAAAAAATATTTGAAAGACCGACGTCAGCGCCCAGCAGGTTCAAACTTGATACACAACCGATTTTATTATCGAAAAGCGGATGCGCATGCGGAGAGCATTCGTAGTACATTAATTGTAACGACAAGGAAAATATGCCTTCGCACGCAACACGAAAGCTGCGTAGGTGCTACAGGGCCACGTTTATCAATCCGTCTCCGGTTTAATCGTAAACTGGTGAAGAATTGCTTGACAAAACGCACATCCAAGCAGGAACATATCTTCACTTCTTGTTCGCAACAAAGAGAAAACCGATTCTGTGCGTCGAAAACGAGACAAGTGAAACAGATCCGCACTATCTCAACAACACGCATTACAAATTTCATAGAGTTTTTGTGTGACAATTATGCTCTCATCAATCCATTGGCTACACCGAGAAATAAGTAACCGACTCGCATGTGACCGAGGCGAAAGTGTGGGAAGAATCTTGTTCACCGAGGATTCGAGTTCTGCAGGGACGTGGAGGTGGAAGAACATAGCGTAAAGAGTCAAAAAATGGCCAGAGCAGCACTGCTGTCTGGATTCCGTCTCCGTGCCAAGTAGTTTTTTCTTCGAAATAAAGCAAAAAGGCGCCGTCAACAAAATGTTGATGTATGCATGTATGCAGGGTGTGCGTAATTGTCAACAAAAGGTTGAAGAACGTCATTGCCAACAAAAGGTTGGAACAATGCGAAAGAAGAATTTATTCCGTTTTTTTTATCTCGAGCATTTACGTACCACGAAGGGCTACTTTCTTCATGCTGTATCGGTGTCCCTGTTGTGCGTAATGCGTTTTCGCAAAGCTGTGCATCCGTAGCGCTGCGTTCCGTCAGTTTCATTTCCAACAGCGAGCCTCGGCAGCGGTAGAAAAGAATGCTGTAGAAGTAGAAAAGGCTCGTGAGAGCAAGTCGCCGCAGTGCTCGTGCTTCGCTACCGCAAGCACTGTTGCTTTCCGCGATAGCCCGACAGAAGATGTTTCCGCTGTTCTGCGATGAAATTCTTTTTGAGCTGCGCTGACGAAACTTCAGTCCTCCGCTGCTTTCTCCGCACCACCACAGGTTTACTTACTCGGCTGGCTCCTGCGAAAGTTCACAAGAAGACCGCCAGTCGCCTCATTCAGGAGCCAGAGAAGGTTCTCCTGTTCTTCGCCCTAAAGGGACCACGCAGGATCGGAAAAGTGGAAGTTGCTCGTCAGCTGAAATTCGTGGTGGTGGTTGGCTTTGATGTATCAGCCACTTCTTCTCGTTATCAACCCCGCATGAGCAGCACGCACTTACCTCCTTAGCCAGCAGGTGAAGAAATGTGTCGTACTAGCGGATGCCGACACCGACATCGGCGACGCGAGAAAGTTAATGCGCGGATAAGTAGTAAGTTGCTGGCACCCAGCAGTCGCTAGTTGTAGTTCGTCCCCGGGGCATTTAATGACCCGAAATTCTGGCACGAGTGGTGCGGCCACCCGTTGTGCCCTTTCTGGAAACAGCTATTCTCGTTTATTTCAGCTTCATCAGCCGATCTGCACGAGCAGGGCCTTGTCCACTTACACCAGAAACAGTAACAAGGGTAAGCCGTGCTGTAATCATGGAGTTCTCTGTCGTCGCCGCACATGGTGCTCGGGAAGCGGAAGTGATGGGGCCGCGACTGTTTTCTGATCCGCACCTACACCTGGTTCGGGCACTACGAGGTATTCCGCTTTTCAGCCAAAGGTGATCCCGAGTTTCAGCCGTATCACGTGGATCCGATTTTCAGCCGGAGGTGAATCCGACATATCTTAGCACCGCTTCTACTGCTTTTCACAATAGCCCGACAGATGCTTCCGCTGTTCTACGACGGAACTTGTCTCGAGCGACATCTTCAGAGCTGCAGTCGGCTCCACCTCCATCCTCCGCATCACAGGCTTATATCTGGGTGGCTTTATTGCGACCAAGGATTCACAAAGAGACTGCAGATCGCCTCCTTCGCAATCCACAGCCACAGAAGGAAGGAGATTCTCTTCGCACGAAGGCGTAAACGGCGCGGCAGGATCGGACAAGTAGAAGCCGTTCGTCAGCTGGTATTCGTGGACAATGGTCGACTTTGTGTGAGTTTGCGCAGCAGCACGCGCCCAAAAAACATGAAAGCGCATTCCATCCGCTGGACCGGTTTGAAGAATCCGGCAAACCTGTTTTGGAGATTTTCAAACTCATGACCAACTCTAGGCGAGATTTGTATAAAGTCGATACTACATGTAGTTGTGGTTTTTCAGATTTAATACAGATGCGCATCAGGATAAATTCAAGTGTAGTAGTACCACTGCACGTTCCCAGCTGGTGCTCCTCCAGGAACGGGGTAGCTTCCGTAGAAGTCGCTGTCGGCCACGGTTTTGCGACTGGATTTCCTGCTTGTTTCTTCTTGCCAAAACGACCGCTTCAAATGCGATCTGCATATTACCAACTGCTTCTCCTGCCACGACCAACTCCAACGTCCAGCAGAATCAAAGCTTCCGTGGTCTCTCGTCTCGCTGACAGGATTGAGTATGAAGAGCGGTTTTTTGTTCCGCCGGACGTCCGCCAAACGTGCAGTGATTACGACGCGGGAGGAGAGGCCAGTTGCTTCGCTACTGAAAAGCTGAATTTACCACGTGCCTCACGCTATCCTGCTTCGTTCTTTCCTGTGCATGATTGCTCGATCGAAGATTTTCAGATTCCTCTTCCCCCACTGCCGACGACACCCCGCGATTCGGGACAAACCAGAGGTCTGCGGAATCAGCGGATGAGGGAATGGTTCGCACACAAGAAATCCGATCCACCCTAACATCGTTTGAAGGGACAGGGCATCTCTACGACCGAACTCACCCGCTGTTCGCGCGGAGGTCGTCGTGAGAAGCCGGAATTCGTCTGCGCGGCATCTCGCTAGTAGTCGTACTTACTGCGCACTGGAGATGAAACTTATGCTTTTCCGATCTTCAGTCAGTTCTCGCACAAGAACATTTACATTTGCTAGCTGTCTGCACTCCACTCGCCGCTCTGAGATGAGTACTGGTCTTTGCCAGGAAGGTTGTTTCCCGGTCGGTGGTACCACGATGATGTACAAAAATATGTGGCCACAGTTGTTTTCCCGGTCCCTGTTGCTGGTACTGTAGTTGTATGTTGAGATGAATTTCAGGTTTGTTTTTTGGAGGACGAGACGATGACGATCTTTTGTTGATTTCGTAGGTCTGCTGCGAGGAAAACGATGAAAAACGGTTGGTGGACTTCTTCTGCTGCTAGTCGTTGAGGACCCTGTTAATCTAGTTTTGGTTTTTCGAAAAAATTCACTTGGCACCACCAGCACCAGTGGCACTTGTAACTCTTGTTGTGTTCGAGTTCGGATACGGATCCGATGAAAGCTCCCGCGTAACCCCACAGGACGGAGTCGTCAGTTGTTGGAGGATGGAGTCACCGTGTACTTATTCGAAGGTAAGTGGTGGCATTTCGCATTCAATCTTCTACATTGCGTCGTAGTATTCGTTTTACGTTTTCGTACCCATACGACCCGCAGTTGTTCAGCTAGCACGAAGCGGAGGATGGGTATAGGTAGATCTTGGTATTGCTGTTTGCGCCGGATGAAAATTACGAGGGCTGGTTACTCACTGTGTCGAACCAGGTACTACTGCTGTCTGCGTACTGCGAGAAGTAGTGTCGCGGTGGATCACGGGTTGCGCAGTCTTGCGTAAGCAGCCAGGTTGTGGTCCTTTTCGATGATAAGTGAGTCGTGTTGTTTCATTTTGTGTAGAACCGCAGCTCCGGTCGTGTTGAAAATGTAATTTCGATGATGTCGGTTTCTGTTTCAGTCGAGGAAGACGAGAAAGTTCTTGAACTGGTTGTCCGGTAAAGAAGAAAAATGTAGTTGGAAGAAGCTGTTGTTTGTCCTATGAAGACACGGTCAAAATGAAACAACCGTCGAATTTAAAACCGACCCTTTATCCTGAGCAAAAACGTCCTCACCCCAGAGTCAAGATGGGAAATCCGCTAGACAAATCAGCCACCTCTGGTTGTTTCGCATGACAAGTTTATCCTCGTAGTGTAATCCTGTTCAGCTAGTTCCGAAGCATCACAGATCTAGCATATCATGCTGATTCTAGCATTACAAATTCCAAAACAGGATTAAGAAAATGGTTCTCATGGGGCTCCGCATGAGAAACTTTTTTGGCATACAGATTTGCATGACAACCCTGGTGTGGGGACATTTTTACTCAGGATACCCTTTTCAACATCGTCACCGGCGAGCATTGCACGGCTTCGTAGAGGTAGAGATTGATGTAGGGTTTGAAGAAAGCTTGCTTCTTTATCTGGTGGTTTATTCACTGCGAAGATTCTTCTTCACGGACTGGAAGCTTCAACATGAAGATCTGGTCGAAGTAGAAAAGTCGATTCTTTTTTGTTATGTTGTTTTCTTTCTAACTCGGAGTCGCGTTACGGGGATTTGCTTGGAGAAGACAGGTATCAACTGTAAAAATGTCTGGGCCTGCAAATTTGTGATGCATGGCAGTGAAAAGAAAGCATACTGTAGTGCGCCGCCAGGCATGACAAATTTATCCTTGGCTCCCTGTTGCGTATTCCGCATGACAAACACCGTTTTTGCATGACAGATAAGAGGAGCTCTTGCTGGTCACGCAATACAGAGCTCCGCGTCATGCCCGACTAGCATGACAAATGCAAACTCCGCATCCTTCCAGACCCAGACACTTTTGCATTTGATAACAGGTTGCGAAAGATGAGACGCCAGAAGGATGCTGCGAAAAGTCGGCTGCTTTAAGTGGTTCACTTCTTCTTAGCGGCAGGCTTTTTCTTCGCGGCAGCCTTCGCGGCCGCCTTTTCTTCCTTTTCTGCCTCCTTCTGGGCTTTCTTTTTCGCGGCCGCTGCAGCCTTTTCAACTTTCTCTTGCTCCTTCTGCGTATCAAATGCAAAAGTGTCTGGGTCTGGAAACTTGTGTTGCTGATACTTGCATTGCAAACTTGCTGCGTGTACGGCATAACAGCATGAGAAATTTCCCTCGGCATTCCTTGGGGATTTCATTCGTATTTAGCATTACAAACTACCATATCCAGCACGACAAAAAAACTGGCCGATGGCATTCATGCATTACAGATCTTGTTGTCCTTGAAGTCCTGCATCACAAACCCAGACCCGGACACATTTGCAATTCATACTGTGCCTTCTTGTCCTCGTCAGCCTTCGCCTTAGCGGCTTTAGCGGCGGCTTTTATCAAAGTGAAAAATCCCCCCTCCCCATACTAAAAAGGGATACTCCTGAAGATTTGTGATGGTGATTTGTAACCACAAATCGTCTCTGCATTGCACGAAGGCAACCCCAGCGACTCCGCTGCGTTGCGCAGGCAATTTGTGACGGTGTATCGCCTACAGAGGATGTGCCTGCCTTGCTAGGTGCCTACACCAAAACGCCCCTCCTCAGGCTGCGCACCTGCCTGCAGTCCTCTACTGCAACACAAAGCCGATTTGTGTACACAAATCCCGCATCACAGATTTCCATTTTGATCTGAGGCGGGGGGATTTTTCATTTTGATAGCTTTCGCGGCGGCTTTCTTCACCTTCTGGTCGTCTTTGTATGCCTGTTATCCTGAGTAAAAACGTACCCACACCAGAGTCAGGATGGGGAATCTGCTAGACAAATCAGCCAGCTTTGGTTGTTTGGCATGACAAGTTTGTCCGCGTAGTGTAGTGCTGTTTGAGCTAGTGGAGCAGCATTACAGATCTAGCATCTCGTGCTGATTGGAGCATGACAAATTTCAAAACCGCATTAGAAAATGCTTCTCATGGGGCTCCGCATGAGAAACATTTTAAGCATGCAGAGTTGCATGACAACTATGGCGTGGGTACGTTTTTACTCAGGATACCTGTACGGACAGACCAGCCGCAGTGGCAGCCTCCTTGATCTTATCAACTGCAAAAATATCTGGGTCTGGATGAATGCCAGACTTGTCATGCAGGTTGTCCATGACCCATGAGGTTGAGGTCTCGGTCTGGTATGTAGGACATAGCATGACAGATTCTGTGAGAGTTCTATCATGCCTATCCTGCATGAGAAACTCCCTCTCGATTAGGTCAAAAGTGGACAGCTTTTGGTAATCATGCAACACAGATTTTTACATGTTTCAGATTTAGCATGACAAGTTGTTTTGTTCCAGACCCAGACATTTTTGCATTTGATAGATCTCCGCATTTTTCGCCGCCGCCTTTTCCCGCCTCTCCAGCACCTCTGGCTCGAAATTTTCCAGGGCCCGCTTCCACTTCGTCCCATTCCATCCTGGATCGAACAGTTCGTAGCCGTCGGCCAGCATCCGGGCAATCCAGTCCTTCTCGGCCTTACCAATGTACAGGTGATAGCGTGTTCGACCACCAAAGGTTGCTGTGCTGTACTTTCTGAGTTCACAGAACCCTATGCAGTGCAAATATCTTCGATCTGGGTTTGGATGGATGCAGATGTCTGTCATTCGCATCCTCCCACAAGGCCTAGGCCATGCAAAGGGCCTTTAGCAATACAAACTTTCCAATAGGCGTGGGCCTGTAGGCCTAAATTCCGGTCGGTTGGTCGGTCGGTTGGTTGGTTTTGGACAGACGACAACTGACCGAACCCGCTCCATTGTGTTTTGTGTTTTTCTGAGATTCATCTATTATTACTGTTGAAGCTGCCTACCTACCCACCTACCTGGCGTCTTTTCGATTCATTGTAGTACCGTGATCGCACCGATCCACCTACCTACCTATCCCTTGCCACCCAGAGACAGCTGCCTACTGGTCACGCCTACCGACCTACCCACCCACATGGTGGGTAGGTGGGGCGAGGGAGCGCGCGCTGCCTATTGGCCACGCCTACCGACCTACCGACCCACCAGCCTGGTGGGTGGGTGGGGCGAGGCAGGGCGCGCTGCCTATTGGCCACACCTACCGACCTACCCACCCACCTCGCTGGTGGGTGGGTGGGGCGAGGGAGCGTGCGCTGCGTATTGGCCACGCCTACCGACCTACCCACCCACCAGCCTGGTGGATGGGTGCGGCGAGCAAACGCTGTCTATTGGCCACGCCCACCGACCTACCCACCCACCTCGCTGGTGGGTGGGTGGGGCGAGCGTGCGCTGCCCCTTGGCTACGCCTACCGACCTACCCACCCACGGGCCTGGTGGGCGGGTGGGGCGAGCGTGCGCTGCCTATTGACCACGCCTACCGACCTACCCGCCCACCTCGCAGGTGGGTGGGTGGGGTGAGCGTGTGTTGCCTCTTGGCCACGCCTACCGACCTACCCACCCACCTGCCTGGTGGGTGGGTGGAGCGAGCGCGCGCTGCCTATTGGCCGGGCTGCCGAGCGACCTACCCACCCACCAGGCAGGTGGGGGTGTGGGGCGAGCGTGCGCTGCCTACTGGCCACGCCTACCGACCTACCCACCCACCTGCCTGGTGGGGGGGGGCGGGGCGAGCGTGCGTTGCCTATTGGCTACGCCTACCGACCCACCCACCCAGCTGCCAAGCGGGGGGGGGCGAGGGAGCGTGTGTTGGCTATTGGCCACGCCTACCGACCTACCAGCCCACCTGCCAAGCGGGGGGGGAGGGGGTGGGGCGAGCGTGCGTCGCCTATGGCCCAATCTATTAGCAGGGGGCTTGCAAGCAAGGGACTCGCGAAGCCAAGGGGTTGCGCAAAAAGCCCCCGCTCGGCTTGACCAAGCGGGGGCTGATCCAAATTTTGCGCGAATTTGTCTCTATTTCCCAAGTGTGTTTTGCTTGGGTTGAGGAAACGCAGGCCGTGGCTGGAGAAAAGTGCAGCATTGGAGCCCCGACCTCTTTCTATCTCACAGGCGCAAACTCTCACGAGGCCCCCTGGAGCTCCGATTGCGTCCACGCAGCACAGATCTGTGTCGGCAGCGAGCTGCGCGCAACACTGCTTTGTGTTGCGCGCAACACAGATGCGCGCCCACGCAGCACAGATTTGTGTCTCCGGCGAGCTGCGCGCAACACAGATGTGCGCGCAACACGCAGCACAGATTTGCGCGCAACGCCGATTTGTGCTGCGCGCACGCAGCGGAGATTTGTGTCTGCGGCGAGCTGCGCGCAGCACAGATCTATGGCGCGCGCAACACAGATTGGCGTCCACGCAACACAGATTTGCGTCTGTGTTGCGTGGACACATCGAACTCTCCTTCTGCCGAGACCTTTCTGCCGCCCTGGCGGAAGTGCCTACTGGGCGGCGATAGGATGCGGCGCTACCAGCCTCGCAGGGGCGGGCTGCAGCCCCGGTAGGGAGGCAGGTGCGCCGCGCGCCCCGACCACCCCCCTATCGTGTTTCGCCCTCCTTGCCGTTGCGGTTGTCTTCTAAATCCGAAACCGATATGCGTTTTTCCATAAGTCGGAAATTCGGTCAATTGTCGTCTGTCCAAAACCAACCAACCGACCGACCAACCGACCGGAATTTAGGCCTACAGGCCCACGCCTACTCAAACTTTCAGAAGGATATTTGTCAACACGACGGCCTTAGCCACATAAAACGAATCTCCTTCTTCGGAGACAAGAAATGCACTGCTTGTGCAATGCACTACTTACTTGTGCTTGTCTCCGTGCATGAGAAATTTTTATCTGATCCGAAATGCGCATCACAAGTTAACAAGTACTGCATCCTCCAAGAGGTGGACCCAAGTCGATATATTTGCAATGCATAAGCAGGAAACACAGCTGGTGCGGAGACTGTGGCTCGGCATGCCCTATATACCCGATTTTGAACGCTTTGAGCTGCTCTAGGCGTCTTCCCCATCTCGAATAGTGAATAATGGTCACGAAGAACGCCGTTTTCGTGCAGGCAGACCGCATCGTCTTGGTGGTAACACCGTCGCGGTGTGTATCTACAAAGGTAAACGCACGAAGTCCGGACTTGGTATACCGCGCTGACGACATATACGCCTCTGCGATTTGGTTCAACAAAAACGTTGGACCTCGGCCAGTCTCCCAAATTTGTTTGAAGAGACTGGCCGCAGTGCGAAAAAGGTCATCTTTATGGAAAGAAAAAAGTTTGTCACAGTCACTAACTTGCAGGTTTTGCATTACAAATTTTTTTAGCATCACAAGTTTTCCTTGTATTGCAGAAACACTAGGGAAAACCCCTATGAAGCTTGGCTGTCATGCATTTTTACGCATGACAGCCAGTTTTGTATTGCAAAAATGCGCATGAGTAATCGTGACGAACTTTTTTTGTTTGATAATCTTTGCGGCTCTCGGGTTGCCCTTTCGCGAACTTTTCCGGGTTCTTCAGGATCACCTCGAGCGCAAACGACAAGCCGAAGTTTTTGTCGTCGCCGAAGAATCGTAGAAGCAACTTATCCTGAGTAAAAACGTCCCCGCCCCAGAGTTGTAATGCAGATTTGCAAAGACGGGAAGACTTGTAATGCGCCAGCCCATGAGAGCCATTTCGAATCTTGTTTTGGAATTTGTGATACTGTAAACAGGATGCCAGGATGGATTTCTGATGCGGTTGTCCTTGATGCTAACCCGCATTACAGTACAGCGAAAAACTTGTCATGCGTGACTCCCAAAACTTCTGGATCTGTGTTGCAGAATTCCCAACTTGAGTCTGGGGCGGGGACGCTTTTACACAGGATACAACTCAACTGACGTCCATGCGGTTTTAGTTGCCCCCAGAGACTTTGGTTTCCCGAAGTGCTGTATGACAGTGCACAACACCCCCTCCCCCTCCTTTGTCATGCAAAAACCTACATCCAGCTGCTATTATCTTGGGGCCCCGTGTGCATGACAAATTCCGGAAATGATCCAAACAGTACTACTTACTTACACTCGGCGCATGAAGAACTTGTCATGCACGGGGTCCACCAGCTGATGTGCTGGTGTTTGTAATGCTGTTGATGCCATAGTACAAATGAGGGGGAGGGGGAGTTGTGCAGTCTCATATGCATTTCGGCCCATTCCAGATCCTTCTCTTCCAGCGGCGTGTTCTTGTATAGGTGATGTCTGGATTCGGACTTACTCATCCCTGGGAGGCACTTGGTACCCATGAACGCCATCCGCGTCAGGTGTCTGAGCCATGCAAGTGCTTCGTACAGCGTCTTGGACTCTTCGATCTTTTCCATCATGTACACGCTCCGGAAGTCCAATTCGGTGTCGAACTTAGACTATCCACTGCAAATATAATCGATCTGGGTCTGGACACTTCTCTTGCTCATCCCTGCATGACAGACTGGCTGCTTCGATACGGCATAACAGCATGAGAAGTTCTTGTTTTCCTCAGCATGATTTCTTGCGGATGTCAGTCGTCTTTAGCATCTTACAAACTGTGATGCATAAAGTAGGGCTGAGTCGTACTTTATGCATCACAAATTTTTCTGTCGTTGAAGTCCAAATTTTTTTTTATCTCATCACACGTCCTTGAAGTCCAGCATCACAAATCCAGATCGATATTTGCAGTGCATATACACCCGTACCGCGTTTGAACCGGCGGACAAAAAAACTTATCCTGTGCAAAAGTATCGCACTCGTAGTAATCGCAATCATGCATTACAAATCTCACTCCTAACCTAAATCCGCAGTACAAATTCGATTGTTCATGCTGAGGGGATTTGTCATGCGATCTATACTAGTACGATGCTTTTGCATTTCATAAAGCTTCTGCTTCCCCAACTCTGGTATCAACTGCAAATATGTCTGGGTCTTCTGGAAATTTGTGTTGCTGACACTCGCATCAGAGGGTAGAAGCCGCTTGTATACGGAATAGCACCATCAGAAGTTGTTTGGAAAGGCTTGTACTTGCTGATTCATTCGGAAAATAACGCATGACAAGCTTCAATCCAGTATGTACGACAAAAAAACTGGCCCATCGCATTCATGCATCACAGATCTTCTTGTCCTTCAATTCTCGCATCACAAGTTATCCAGACCCAGATGAGATATTTGCAATGCATATCTGGGTGCATTGGGTCCTCGTAGTCGTCAACCCGAGCGATGTATCCTGTGCAAAAGTGTCGTACTTGAATTGCAATCATGCATTACAAATTTTTTTTGAAGGGTAAATCAGCATTACAAATTTTATTTCTCATGCTGAGGTAATTTGTATATGCATTTCTACGAGTACGATAATTTTGCAGTTCATACATTGCCGCGTGGGCGTCCATCAGCGCATTTCTCACGTTATCACACAGAAAAATAAGCAGGCAGGTCATAAAAGTTGTCATGCAAAAATAATTCAGACAAAAAAATCTGTATTGCAACTCCTAAACAGCATGCGGCGGCGCCGCCCATGAAAGATTTTTCTGTGCATTCATTTTGGCATGACAAATTATATGCCCTGCTAGCTTTTTTCTCTGGGATACACGCGGACCGTAATCGCGGGCGAACAGCGTCACGTAGACCTTCTCGATGCTGGAAATCACGGGGTTCTCGGTGTGGTTGTCACACGCATCCCGCATGAGCTTCGCATCGTTCGCGCAAGCGTCGCAGAGGAGAAGCTCGCTCGCCGCCAGGAAGTGTATCCAAGAAAAAAAGTGTGAAGTGTAAGTCTTTTGGGAAAACTGCATCACAAGTTTGTCTGCCATGACAGGAAAAATTTGCTATGCGCAGATAGGAAGGGAAAAGAACTAGGAAGGGAGCCGATCATGCACGTCGAGCATGACAAGTGTAACTGTCTTGCATTTTCTGCATCACAGATTTACACTTACACAGTTTTTTTCTTGCATAAAGTGGAAAGTCGGTTTATTGCCCACGGCACTCGGTGCCTCGTCTTCTGGAGTCCTTTCGACACCAGCACCCGACCAAAACTCTGCCACTTCGTTTCCTACAGTGTCGAGTAGCGATTTGGTACAGTCCTCTTTCTCGCAGAGGCAGCACCGGTATGCATTGCAAAGATGTCTGGGTCCTCTGGAAGAATGCTGGTTTACGAAGATGCTAAAGTAAAAATCTCGGAGTGACACCAAAATCTGCATTGCAGGGGAAACACAACAAGCTGCTCACGAAGAAAGGTTTCTAGATATGGTAAAACGACCCGAGGTCAAGCCCGTGATGCTGTGCCCTGCAAACCAGACCTTCGGAGTCGTCCATTCAGCGCAAGACAAATTATTATACCTGCATCGTTCCAGATCTCCCAGACACTCTTGCAATTGATAGCCGTCCGATGTGCCACTCCCGTTCGCTATGCTTGACCCACATCTTGCGGAACTTTTTCGACGTGTGACGTTTTTTCGGCACGACGTCTGGATTGTTTTTTTATCAAATGCAAAAATGTCTGGGTCTGGAAGGTTGCAACTTGTGATGCTGTCTTTGGAAGGTAAAAAAAAACTGTATTGCATGACCAGCAAGAGGAGTTCCGTTTGTGCTACGCGAAGTGGGCGTTTCTCATGCGGAATACGCATCAGAAGGCCCTTTAAAAATCTGTGATTCTAGGTCATGCATTGATACGATACAATGACCGGCTATGCAAAATATGCATGACAAACCTGGCAGTCTTCCAGGTCCAGACATTTTTGCACTTGATACCTTGCCTCCGCCATTGTCCTATGCATTGCAAAAGTATCGCATTCGTATGTATGCATTACAAATTTCCTCAGCATGAGAAATGAAATTTGTAATCCGGATTTGCCTTAAGAAAAGGATTTGTAATGCAAGACTTGCATTTATACGAGTACGATGCTTTTGCACAGGATATGTCCGAGTCGTGCTCGTTCACGTACTCCTCCTATGGATTGCAAATATGTCTGGGTCTGGAAGAACCAAACTTGTGATGCTGAATTTGGATGCTAAAAAAATCTGTATTGCATGAGCAGCAAGAGGAGTCAAATTTGGCTACGCGGAGAGGGCATTTGTCATGGAGGATGCGCATCGATAGACGCTCAAAAAATCTGTGATGCTATGGCATGCATCGGAGACATCATGGATCATGGAAAATGTGCATGACAAACTTCTACTTTCCAGACCCAGACATTTTTGCATTCGATACCTCCTCATGTTGTCCCTCTGGCGGATTGTTCTTCTTTTTCCCCTATCAAATGCAAAAATGTCTGGGTCTGGAAACTCGTGGTGCAAGGAAGGGAATACTGGTGAAAACACTGTAATGCGCTGCCAAGCAAGACAAGTTTTTTCCATGGTTCTGAGTTGCGTACTCCGCATGAGAAACTGCGTTCGAGCATGACAGGCAAGACGAGCTCTTCGCGGCCATGCAACACAGAGTTCAGAGTCATGCCAGACAAGCATGACAAATCTCGCAATTTTCAAAACCCAGACATTTTTGCATTTGATATCGCCCGCGGCTTCGGCTTGGCTCTCGCCTTTGCCGCGGCTTTTGCAGCAACCGCAATCGGTGGAGGAGGTGCTGGCACAGGTGGGAGTAGAAGGCTGTTCTTCTTGTTCGCTTTTTTGTCCGCACGGTTCTCGTTGTGGTCCGAGTGCATTATTCTACAGAAAAGTAGAAGTACACCGATAGATTGACCAGAAAAAAATTGTTGAATCTGTCATGGCGCTGTTTATGTTTTCTCGTCACAATAAAACGAGGCTCTATGAAGAAGAAGATCATGCTGATCATCCGCATGAAAGTCGATAATTCTCTTTCAGCACGCTACACAAAAAGCTAAATCAGCAAGACAAATTTCTTTTTTTTCTGGCACCAGCATGGGTGTACAACATTTGTGTTTGCATGGGATAATATTATCCGTCTTCATCTCGTCTCCCTCGACTGAGTGTTTTTTGTTTTTCCTCGCTTGTTTTTTGTTCTCCTTCTTTTCCTTTTTTGACTTTTTGTCCTTTTTTTCTTTCTTCTTTTTGCCGTTGTCTTCACTTTCGTCGGCGTGGTTGTTCTCCTGGAGGAAACTCATGTTTTTGTCAAGAACAACATCTGCGGGTGGTGAATCTTTACGCACAGCATTCTGGTCGAGGTCAAAGTCCTGGTTGTTCAGTAGCTGTCCGCCACTCGGTTCGTCCTCCTGAAAAAACACCACTGGCGTGTCCGAGAAGGGTTTATCGAACGCGTTGGGGTTCTTCTTCCTCATCTTCTCTAAGTGCTTGTCCCGCCTAGAATGGATGTACGCGTTCCAATATCCACTGCAAAAGTAATATCGCACTCGTACCAATTGTGCTTTTATGCATTACAAATCTTTTTCTTAAGTGAAATTCGCAATACAAATTGAATTTGACGTAATGCTAAGGCATCAATTTGTTGTAATGCATTTATACGAGTAGGAGTACGATACTTTTGCAATCTTCATATCAAAGTATCCGGGTCGAGCTTGAGCTCCTGGCTGTCGTTGTCCTCTTCATTCTTTTCGATTTCGGATAATTCGTATCAAATGTAAAAATGTCTGGGTCTGGAAGATTCTGACACTTGTCATGCACGTTTTGCATGAGCCACGATGTCTGTGATGCATACCCTAGCAATACAGATTTTCTGAGGGCTTCTTGATGCCTATTCCGCATGACAAATGCCTTCTCAGCGTAGCAAAAATTGCATTCCCTTTGCTACTCATGCAATACAGATTTTTTTGGAATCCAAATGCAGCATCACAAGTTGCATTCTTCCAGACCCAAACATTTTTGATTTGATAATTCGTCGTCACCGAAGTCGAGATCCAGCTCCAGGTAGTTGTCATCGACAGGTGGTTCTTTCGCTTTTTTCGCGTTGACAAACTTGGCCTGGTTTTATGAAATGCAAAAGCATCGTACTAGTAGTAATCGCAGTACAAATTTGCTCAGCATGACAAATGGAATTTCTCATGCTGATTGACCTTGAAAAAAAGATTTGTCATGCATAAATGCGATTACTACGAGTACGATACTTTATTTGCACAGGATAGGTTTTCCCCGGCCCGATTCGAAGATTTCGTCTCCCGACTGCGGCCACGGTCGGGCTCATCCAGCTCCGCCTTCCGAAGTCTCGCTTCCTCCTCCTGTATGCAGTGCAAAGAAAAGTATCGTACTCGTATAAATGCATTACAAATTTCCTCAGCATGAGAAATAAAATTTGTAATGCTGATCTACGTGAAGAAAGAGATTTGTAATGCATGCTTGCAATACGAATACGATACTTTTGCACAGGATATCCTGTTCTTCCTTCTGTTTTTCGCAAAATTTCTCCACCAGCTGGCCGAGCTTTTTCCTCATTTTTTTCGGCGGGAGATCCTGCATTTCCACGGTCACCAGCTCGGGATCACGCTGCTCGTACTGCACGAATAGGTGTGGCTTGGACTCGGGCGCAGTGTCGAGATTCTTTTCCCAGGAGACAACCCAGTACTGAGCAGGTGCTACATCGCCGTCCTCGTTTATGGAAGTGCACAAGAACTCCCTCTTCCCCGCATTTGTGTAAGCATGAACAGCAAGACAAACACCAGCACACGTGGATGCTGGTGGGCATGACAAGTTCATGCTCTCAGTGTAGTAGTACTGTTCTTTGGGCTATTTCAAAATTTGTGATGCGTAATTAGTGACACAAGGGAACAACTGGAGTTGCGATTCATTTGCATGAGAAATGAGAACGAGGGGGAGTAGTTGTGCACTGTCATATCGCCGTCTTCGACGGGTTCGACCTCGACCTTCGCGTTTGATTTTTTCGCCGTGGGCTTCAAGTCATTGTCGACGAAATATCGTAAGGAAAAATCCCCCCTCCCCATATCGAAAAGGAACGCCGCAGAGAATTTGTGATGCTGATTTGTGACCACAAATCGCGTTTGTCTTGCAAGAAAGCAACGACATGGGCTCCGCCGCATTATGCAGGCGGTTTGTAATGCTGTTACAACTCCTACAGCATAAACGTTCCTCATGCCAAGTGCCTAGGCCAAAACCTTTCTGCATGGGCATGATATGGGCCTGCAGTGCTATCCAGCAAGACAGCTCTGATTTGTGTACACAAATCCAGCATCAGAAGTTTCGTTTTGATATGGGGAGGGGGCATTTTTCCTTTTGATACGAAACACCACCGTCGCTCATCTTCCCCAGGAAAAGGCGTCTGCGTCCCGGCCCCCGGCTGGAACGCGAAGTCAAAGTCTATCCTGTGTAAAAACCTTCCCAGCACGACCCCAGAGTTGTCATGCAAATGCGCAATGACAGGAATCGATTTGGTGTGCGCATTTCCATGAGAGGCATGATTTCCAGTCGTGTTTTGGCATTTGTAATGGGAAACTTGTCATGCAGAACTTCCAAAACTTGGGGATTTGTGTTGCAGACTTCCCATCATGACTATGGTGTGGGGACGTTTTTACATAGGGTAAAGTCCTCGACGTCAACGTCGTCCTCGTCAGACGACGACGAAGAATATCAAATGTAAAAATGTCTGGGTCTGGAAACTTGTGATGCTGGGGGGCGTCTCATGATGAGGCCACAAGTGCTGGCTCAGCATGACAAGTTTCTGAGCTTCTAGGTGTTGCCTATTCTGCATGACAAACTGCATCTCTGCATCACAGAAAAATGGAGCTCTTGGGTAACGTGCATGACAGATTTAAGAGTCATACCAGACAAGCATGACAAACATGCATTCTTCCAGACCCAGACATTTTTACATTTCATAAAGAACAAACGCTCCACGAATTGCGATATGCACTGCAAATATGTCTGGGTCACTGGATGAGTGGAAGATTTGTCATGCGCATTTTGCATGACTCCTGATCGATCTGTGATGTATGCGCTGGCAACATGACAGGTTTCATTGTGAGGCCTCCTAATGCAGCCTAAGCCTACACAACATGAAAAGTGCCCCCTCCACGTAAGTAGCAGCTAGTGGACTCCTCTTGCTGCTCATGCAATACAGATTTTTTTTAGAATCGCAAGACAGCATCAAAAGTTGCATTCTTCCAGACCCAGATCGATATTTGCACTCGATATGCGATAGCGGCGGGAGACTTTGACCCAAGGATTTTCTTCCTGGTGCTTCCTATGAATTGCAAAAGTATCGTACTAGTACGAATTACATATACAAATTTCCTCAGCATGAGAAATGGAATATGTAATGCTGATTTCCCTCAAGGAAAAGATTTGTAATGCATAACTGCAATTACAACTACGAGTGCGATACAACTTTTGCACTGGATACTTCCATAGCGCCTCGTCACCGTAAAGGTCCTTTACGGTCCATTCTTCGTCGTTTCTGGGTTTTATCTCGCCCGTGCTATCCCACGAAACAACTGTTTCACTGTGATGGTTTTGCAAGATCTGCATCACAAGTTTGCTACACATGACACAGAAAATTTGTCATGCGCGTTTTCCAAGGGAAAACACGCTGAAAGATCCGTTGTGTTGCAGGTGTAGCAAGACAAACGCATTGGTGTTTCGCTCTCTGCATCACAGATTCACAATGAAGCAGTTTTTTCTTGCGATACGTTCTCTCGTCGATGTAGTGTTGGAACACAGGCGTTGCGGTATTCTGAGTAAAAACGTCCCCACCCTCGAGTTGTCATGCGAAATTTGCACGCCAAAAAAGTTAGTCATGCGGAGCTGCATGCTGAGAGCCATTTTCTAGTTGTGTTTTGGAATTTGTCATGCTAGAAGCAGCATGATGCGCTAGATCTGTGATGCTGCTGAATTACCTAAACAGGACTACTCTACCGGGACAAACTTGTCATGCGAAACAGCCATAGCTGGTTGATTTGTCTAGCAGATGTCCCATCTTGACTCTGGTATGCGGACACTTTTACTCAGGATATGCGCTACTATCAACCGGGACCTGCTGCTGCTGCTGCGGCGCGTCTGGGTTGTTGTAGCAGTACAGGTTCATGTTAAAGTCTGCCGCAGAAACGGCTCCGAACTCATAATATGGTATCAAATGCAAAAATGTCTGGGTCTGGAAGAATGCAAGTTTGTCATGCAGCTTTTCCATGACCATCCACGAGGTCTGGAATGCAGGACCTAGCATGACAGATTCATCTGTGTGATCTCTTTCGTGCCAATTGTGCATGAGAAACTCCCTGCCGACTTGGTCAAAAGTCGACAGCTTTTGGTAATGATGCAACACAGATTTTTGCATGATTCAGATTTAGCATGACAAGCTGCATTCAATTCTTCCAGACCCAGATATTTTTGCAGTGGATATTTGGCTGCTGGATACCAAAGTTACCGTCCGCCTGCGAAAGCGCTCCGTAGGTATACTGGTCATTCTGCATCAAACTTGACCCAGCTGCGCTCTCCATACCAGGAAAAACCGCTGGCGTTTCCGAGTAGTTCGCAAAGATCTCAGTGTTGTCGCGATTGTAGAAGTCGCTCGCATATCCTGTGCAAAAGTATCGCACTCGTAACGCAATCATGCATTTACAAATCTTTTCCTGAAAGCAAGTCACCTTTACACATATTATTTCTCATGCTGAGGAAATTTGTAAAATGCATTTATACGATTACGAGTACGATACTTTTGCACAGGATATCGCAATCGTCAGGCCACCTTTCAGCAGGTGAAATTGTCCCCCAGAAGAACCAAATGCGGTTCCAGACTGGAAATCAAGCGCAGAGCTGGTGCCTGGTTCTGCCACGCCACCCTCTTGGCCTGGGAAGGGGAGAACGCTTTCTCCTCCTACAGGTTCCGGCTGTTGATTCGATGAAGTTGTACTGGGAACATTAAAATGTTGATAGTTAAATGAGTATCAAATGTAAAAATGTCTGGGTCTGGAAGAATGGAAGGCTTGTCATGCTTGTCTGGCATGACCCATGATGCTTGTAATGCATGACCCAGCATCACAGATTTTTGGAAAGCTTCCTGATGCCATTTCCGCATGACAAATGCCCTCCTCGCGTAGCACACATGTGGCTCCTCTTGCTGGTCATGCAGTACACATTTTTTTAGAGTCCAAAGTTAGCATCACAAGTTCCAACTTTCCAGACTCAGACATTTTTACATTTGATAAGGAGTTGAAAACGTTCCGTTCGCCATGTTGATCCTCGTCCTGGGGTATGGATTGCAAATATGTCTGGGTCTGGAAACTTGTGATGCTGGCTGGCGTATCATGAGGAGGCCACAAGTACTGGCTTAGCATGACAAGTTTCTGAGCTTCTAGGTGTTCCCTATATTGCATGACAAACTGCGTCTCTGCATGACAGAAAAGTGGCGCTCTTGGGTAACGTGCATGACAGATTTGAGAGTCATGCCAGACAAGCATGACAAACATGCACTCTTCCAGACCCAGACATTTTTACATTTGATATGGGGCAACAGAAATTCGCGCGCAGCAGTCGCCGACGTTGAACTACTGCTTGCAGCCGCAAATGCAGGAGCAGGAGCCGACGATGAGCTACTACTTGCAGCCGCAAAGGCCCTTTTCTGCCCGCCGGTACTAGAGGTCATGATCTCAGCAGCCGGTAGAAGTTTTTCTCGATCTGAGTGTAGTTGAGCCTCCTTGTTGTCTCGTGGTGCTTTGCTCATCTTCCCAGATGAAGCTCCAGCTTCAACAGCAGCAACCGCTGTCGTGGCTGTTGGACGACTAGAAGTCTATCACAAGAAAAAAGTGCTACAGTTACACATCTGTTGTAAGTTCAGCAACACAAATTTTCTCTGTGTGGCAGAGAAAATTTGCAATGCAGAGATCCTATGGGAAAACACGTACGAAATGAAGTTTGGATGCATTTATTGCATGACAAAGGGTGTCTGTCTTGCGGCTCCTGCAACACAATGTGTAACTGTAGCATTTTTTTCTTGCGATAAAGTCGCCGCGGTTTTTCGGGGTCGACCACGCCCGCGTTTTGCGGCTGGAGGAGCACTTATTTCTTCATCTTGCGGTCGTGCCTCAATGCGATCAGGATTGTTCTTTTCCGACAGCGGCACACCTGTCACAGGGTCGAGCTGTGGTGGAGCAGCAGCGTCCAACGGCTTCGAGGCCGGTCCTTGTTGCGAAGGTTTTATTTGTCCCTCCGCTGCAGCTGCCGAGCTGCTTTTCGCATCCTGGGACGTCGATGAGATGATTTTCATGTGGGACGATCTACTCACGACCTCCTTGTCCGCGTGGTCAACATCCGCTAACACACTAACGCCGGTGCCAACGCCGTTGTCCGGGTTTTCTTCCGTGAGAGGCGGCTCAGCAGCTAAGGTAGTTGGATGTTCCTTTGCAGCTTCTTTCCCGGCGGCGAATGCTGGTCCTTGTCCATCAGAAGTTTGTTCTGGCCACTTGGCGTTCTTGCCGGAAACTTGCTGTCGTGCACTGCTCAGTTGTCCATGATCTCGAAGGTCGTCGTCTTCGGACTTGATGTCGAGCTGTTTGTGCATGTTCGCATCTTGTTCCGGGCGCTTGACATTGATGTCCTTGTTGCAACTCCCAGTGAAGATTTCACTGATATTATTCTGAACGCCTTTCTTGGCCATCGTCTTGAGCTGGGGAGCAGCGGCATCCAACGGCTTCGCGGCCGGTCCTTGTATCAAATGCAAAAATGTCTGGGTCTGGAAGGATGCAACTTGTAATGCTAGCTTTGGACTCTACACAAAATCTGTCTTGCATGACCAGCAAGAGGAGTTCAGTTTGTGCTCCGCGGGGAGGGCATTTGTCATGCGGAATAGGCATCAGGAGGGTCGCTAAAAATCTGTGATGCTAGATCATGCATTACAGACATCCTGAGTCATGCAAAATATGCATGACAAACTCCTGCATGCGTCCAGACCCAGATATTTTTGCATTTGATACCTTGTAGTTGCGCAGGTTTTATTTGTACCTCCACTGCAGCTGCCGAGCTGCTTTTCGCATCCTGGGAAGATTTTTGGATGATCTTCATGTCCGACGATCTACTCACGACCTTGTCCGCCTGGTCAACATCCGCTAACACATCAACGCGAGTGCCAACGCCGTTGTCCGTTTTTTCTTCCGTAAGAGGCGGCTCAGCAGCTAAGGTAGTTGGATGTTCATTTCCAGCTTCTTTCCCGGCGGCGGATGCTGGTGCTTGTGCGTCAGAAGTTTGCTGTTGCCACTTGGCGTTCTTGCCGGAAACCTGCTGTCGTGCTGCACTCAGTTGTCCCTGATCTCCAAGGTCGTCGCCTTCGGACTTGACGAGCTGTTTGTGCATGGTCGCATCTTCCTATGACAGTGCACAACTCCCCCTCCCCCTCATTTGTGTAGCATGAACAGCAATACTGTAAGCATCAGCAAGAGTGCCGGCTTTGCATGACAAATTCACACTCGAGTGTAGTGCTATTTCGGCTGCCAGAACTTGCCAAGCTAACAGTGCCAAGAGGCAAAGGGGGGACTGGGTATTTTGCATGACAAATCAGGGGGAGGGGGGGTTGTGCAGTGTCATACTTTCCCGGCGGCGGATGCTGGTCCTTGTGCGTCAGAAGTATGTTCTTGCCACTTGGCGTTGCCAGAAGCCTGCTGTCGTGCACTGCTCAGCTGTCCATGATCTCCAAGGTCCTCGTCTTCGGACTTGATGTCGAGCTGTTTATGCATGTTCGCATCTTGTTCCGGGCACTTCACGTTGATGTTGTCCTTTTTGCAATCATTCCCAGTGAAGCTTTTTTCCCCGGAAAAAGAACCACTCTGACCGCCTTTCTTGACCGTCGTCTTGGCTTTATTCGGTTTAGCCTTGTCGTGCTTGTTCTGCTGTAGCTTAGGAAGATCGGGCTGTTGTTTTTCTTGTGCATCGTCAACAGTAGTGTTTATTTCCTTGCAGTTCTTCAGAAGACTGCTAGAGCTACCTGGAACCACGTGCGACGCCCCGGCCGCGGGTTTGGCCTGCGGGTTTTTGTTTCTCTGGTGCTCACCGTCGGCAGATTTTTCCTTCTGCCCCTTGCTGAGTTTCGCGTTGCAGCTCATTGGCGAGATGTCGCTCACACTATCCTGCAGCAGGGTCATATGGGAGTGTCAGGATTGAAATCGTCAAAGTTGAAATAGTTTGTCATGCAGGAAATGGAGCGCAAAGACTGCCTCTATTGCAGAGGACGCAAGGGAGGCACATTGTAGTGCTGGTAAGGGTCGACAGAGGGAAGCCCCATTGCCCTGAACAGCATGACAAACTGGCTTCCGGTACGGACAAAATTTGTCATGCGCCGACTAGAAACTGCGGGTCCAATTGGTATCCATTTTATGCATGACAAATCATTTCAACTTTGTCGATTTCAAACCTGACGCTTCCATAGGTCACTGGTTGAGCTTCAGCAGTCGCCACTTGTGGCCCAACAGTCCTGCCTCCTTTGCTGGATGCGCCCTTTGCTTTTTGCTTTTTCATCTTTGTAGTTGTGGGCTGCTCTTGTCCAGCAATTTTTCCAGCATCACGTTTGTTGTTGCTCCCCCCGACAATATGAGCTGGTTTTATCGTGGGAAAAAAATGTCTCAGTGCCAACTTGTAATGCGCAAGAACCTCCTTGACAAGACAATTGCTTGCCATGCTCAACGTGCAAAAAAGCCGGCTTTCGCTGCTTGTGTTTTCCCTTTTATGTGGTCTGACGCATCACAGATTTTCAACATCTGTGTCATTCTGAGCAAATAATTTGTATTGCTGAGTCTGCAATCAAGGATCCAAAACTTTGGGACTGAGACAGATTTTTCTTGCGATAAGTGCGGCCACGCAACTACTGCTGCTGTTTCTTTTCGCAGGAGGGAGACCAAGCTCACTGTCATCCCGACCACGCTTCGTGGCGCGCCCATCGGGTACGGGTACTTCGTGTCTGGACGTCGTGTCTTTGGAGCTCGCTGCTACTCCTATCAGGGGCGCAGCTTCATCTGATAACTCTCGATCACCGACAGGCCATTTCGATTGTTCTTTCTTGCCGGCGCCGTCGTGTGCCTTTTGCGGCGCACCTCCACGCACATTTGCTTTCGTTGCAGCAGGAGTTGCCGGCCGCTTGGAAGTTGATTTTCGATTGTTTTTCTTGGTTTCCTGTGCTTTCGCAACCTCCTTTCCACCGAGCGATCGGCCCCTCGTCTTCGACGAAACCGTATCACCTGCAAAAATGTTTGGGTTCTTTGGAAGAGCCAAAGTTGTGATCATGCTGCATTTGGATGCTAAAAAAATCTGTATTGCATGAGGAGCAAGAGGAGGTAAATTTCGCTACGCGGAGAGGGGGCATTTGTCATGCAGAATGCGCATCGATGGGCGCTCAAAAAATCTGTGATGCTACTTATGGCATACATCACAGAAATCATGGATCACGGAAAATGTGCATGACAAACTCCTCCTCTTCCAGACCCAGATATATTTGCAGTTGATATGCCTCCGCCTCGAATTTCTTCAAAGACGCGACTGATCCTGGGGCGACGGGTATCCTGAGGAAAAACGTCCCCACCCCAGAGTTGTCATGCAGATTTGCAATGGCAAGGACATTTGTGATGCACATACCTATGGTAAACATTTCCAATCGTGTTTTGGAATTTGTGATGCTATGAACAGGATAAGGAGACGGATTTGTTATGCGGCTTCCCTTGCTAAGCTGCACTACAGTACAGTGTGCAACTTCGCATGCGTGACTCCCAAAGCTTCTAGGTTTGTGTTGCAAAGTCCCCATCTTGCCTCTGGTGTGGGGACGTTTTTACTCAGGATAACGGGCGGCTTCCGATCTCCAACCTTAGAGGATGAGGACGAGGTCGAAGAGAGTACTGGCACCAGCGATGCCTGCTGATTCATCTTCCCGGAGTCGTTATTTCCTGCGCGTTATGCATTGCAAATATGTCTGGGTCTGGAAGGTGAGAACTTGTGATGCTAACTTTGGACTCTAAGAAAATCTGTATTGCAGGACCAGCAAGACGAGCCCAGTTTGTGCTACGCGGGGAGGGCATTTGTCGTGCGGGATATGCATTAGGAAGGCCTTTAAAAATATGTGATGCTAGATCATGCATTACAGACATCCTGAGTCATGCGAAATATGCATGACAAACCTGGCAACCTTCCAGACCCAGACATTTTTGCATTTGATACGCGTGCTGTATTTAAAGACGAGGCTGCCGCTGCAGTGGAGCTGGACTCCTGCTTCTTCTTGATGCCCGCGCCTACATCTTCCGCATTGTTCGTCTTCCCACTGCGTGCACGTGAGCGAGAACCTGCTTTCCCCTGCTGTGCACCTCTTGGTGCTACCGGAGGCATATGAACTGCAAAAATTGTATCGCACTCGTCGTGTAAATGCATTTACAAATTTCCTCAGCATGAGCAATGAAATTTGTAATGCGGATTTAGTTTAAGAAAAATATTTGTAATGCATGCATGACTGCAATTACTCCGAGTACGAAACTTTTGCACAGGATAAGGTACCAGAGCCGGAGGTTTGGCGGCCAGAACAGCCGACGAACTCGAGCTTGGTTGTCCCGGAGCGTTTGGTATGCATTGCAAATATGTCTGGGGCTGCGGCTGGAAACTTGTAATGCTAAAAGTGAA